ATTGATGGAAAGCCACATTGACCTCAGCACTTGTTCCGTGGATCTCACATCAGCAGGTGCGAAAAGCCCATTTTATCCCGCCTCTACCTCGAAGCGAAATTTCACCTCTCAGACGCTCACCAACAAACTGCTCACAGGCATGTATGATATGCTGCTGTGCAGCAAAGGTTACAATGCTGAATTTCCATCATGCAGAGCAGCAATAGCGGCTAACAGGCACTCCAGCTATTAAAACATGCTGTCCGTTTGTCAATAGACAAACAGCTGTGGAGAAGGTAGCAATGAGAGCGTGTACCAAGAGGGAACTGGCAATGTATTGGTATAAGAAACAACTGATTGCTCAAAGCTCGAGAATCTCATATTGAGAAAAGGAATGGGTCTAAAGGTCAAGCAACTGACTTAAAGTGAGAATGTGGCATTTTATCTGTTCACTTCAGGAACAAATAGAACATCCCCAGTCCACACAAATGCATTTCAATGATACATTAGATTCTCTGCTTGAGAATCTTACAAATCAGTTAACAGAAAATAACAAATACAGAAAATGACACAGCTACAGAAAGAGACATACATACATAGGCAGACTAGCAATTCCAGAAAGCAATAGGTTAATTAAGACTGCAGTGGCAGCCTGTTAATGTTAGTGGAAAGATTTGTTAAACAGCAATATTTGTTCATTCCTCATTTAAACGACAATTTTAAAATAATGGGAGAATTGAATAAAAAACATTTTCTGTGCCATTTTTTCATCAAACACTCATTTGGCGTATTTTTAAAACACGTATCTCTTTTAATTAAAACTTCTTGGAATCTTAGAAATGTCATAGTATAATATTCTGAAATTTTAACATCAGGGAGAAATTTCATGAAATGTTATCATTTTGAACGCTTTACCTGTGGTCAGTCACTTGTCTCAGTTTCAGCCTCTGAGCCATGTTTTGGACCTGAGTTTTGTATGATTTAGAAATTGAGGCCAATATGTGAGCAGAAACAATGCATCAGAGAAATCCCATAAGCATCAACAGAACGCTAAGGAATTTAGATACGATACATTACTTTTCTGGATTTCTGATACAAAAAGGAATCTCTTTGTTGCATTTTGCCAATACAGGAGTCGTGTAGCTCAGTGGTTAAAGCACTCGCCTCACAAGCGAGAGGCTTGGATTTGATTCCCAGCGAGGCGAAACATTGGGCAAGTTTCTTTACTCCACAAACACGCTGCTGTTTAACCTAGCAGTGAGTAGGAACCCAGTTGTTAGTCGATTGGCAGATCACTTTTCTGGGGATAATAATTCCTTAAAAATAAAGATTGGTCATTTCAATCTATGACTGTTTGTGGGACACTGCTGTGCACAATTGGGTGCCGCATTTCGCCCACAAAATATACAGTCAATTCACTTTACCCTTCTCTTTTTGAGTAGTGCCCTCGGAACCTTGCCATATAAGCTTATCAGGCAGATGGGACCATAGCTTTGATGTGAAGCTCAAAGTCATGACATTGTGCTAAATTTACAATCTTCTTACTCAAAGTGCACCCAAGTGAGCCAATCTGACACTTTCAAGTAAGGTTCTTCATCTGAACGTTATATTGACTCTGGTGTTAGCTGCTCCCATTTACTCAAGCAAATGGATTTGATGTCAAGGGTACAATACAAAGACAGAGATCTTTTTGCTTGGCTCCCGGCAGCACCTTCGCACCTCAGCCATTGTCAGTACCACTATTCATGGCTGCACTCTTCACTTCATCGAGCCAATATGAAACCTCAGTGTCCTTTTCAACCCCCAGCTATCCTTGAAACTCCACATTCGTGCTATGACCTGTTCCTCCTTTGCCCACCTCCATAACATTGCCTGCCTCCGCCACTGCCTCTCACCACAGGCAGCCAAGACCCTGATCCATGCTTTCATCATGTCCTGGCTTGACTATGCCACTGCCTCCTCACTGGGCTTCCCAACTCTTCCCTCCACAAGCTGCAGATTATTCAAAACTCTGCAGCTCATGTCCTCTTCCACACCAGGCTCCACAAACCATTCACTCCAGTTCTTGTGTGGCTTCACTGGCTCCCATCTCTCAGAGAATCCAGTACAAAAACTCTCATCCTCACCTTCAAGGCCCTCCGCAGTCTTGCTCCCCTGTACCTCTCTGACCTCCTAACCCCATGTCAGCCTGTCCGCTTCCTCCACTCAGTGGACACTGGCCTGCATCAGGTCCCCAGCACTTCTCACCCCATTATTGGAGGTTAGACATTTAGCATCTCTGCCCCCACACTCTAAAACTCTATCCTCAATCCCTCCACCTCACCATCTCTCTTGTTTACTTCAAGTCCTGTCTAAAAGATCTTCCTCTTCGACCGTGCCTTCAGCCACCCTCCCACCCCTACACCACCTCCACTCCACCCCTCCTGACCCCAACTCCCAGCTTGGGTCCAAAAACCCCTGTCTGTCCGACGCTCTGGGACGTCCCTCCAATGTGAAGGGTACAATACAAGTGCACTTTTATCCATGTGTAATTTGTTGTTGTTGTTGTCTTCCTTAGAGGAAAGACGACTCAGCAGGGACCTTATAGAGATGTATAAAATTTTAGATTGGATCTAAAAATTAATATTTTAGAATCCACCAAGACAAGAGAAAAAAAGGACATAGGTATAGAATTGGAAGGGCAATTTCAGGACAGTTACCAGGAAGTTTTTCTTTACCCAGACAATAATTAACCACTGTCACAGATATCAGGAAAGGTGGTCGAGGCTAGGACATTGGATTTATTTTTAAAAAAAACAACTTAATGTTGTGATTGGAGGATAGTGGGCTGGGTTTTCCAAAGAACAAAATCAGATGGGCGGAAGGGCCTTCTTCTTCTGAACTAATGTTGCGATCTTTGAAGTGTTTCTGTTTAAAACCCAAACACATGGACCTTGGACAGAATCCTAATGAGACATTTTTGATTTAACAGGGGTCCTAGATAAGCTGCTGAAATATATTCCACTCCCACATTGTTTCCTCTTCCCCCACTTAATATTTTCCCTTTCTCCAAGTCTTAACTTATGAATTGAAATACTGATACCAGCCTTCTTCCCAGGCAAGGATTTACAATTGTGCAGGATCATTCTTACAAAACAGATCTACCGTAAGTGAGAGAACCGTAAAATAGAAATAGCCTTAAAGTTAACACATTATAATTCAAATGTGAACTAAAAGATTGATTAAGCGAACCTATGACTCCAGATTTCTATTGTCACTGCTCGTTACAGCAGAAAAGGGCTGGCAACTTGCTGCGTCTCATTAATACTCAGGCAATGGTTAATGGCTAAACAGCTGCCATTTAATTTTCATGCTCCTCATTTCTAAACAATGACTACAATATAAATTAAATTGAGGTGGATAATCAAAGCTTTGAATAAGCGAAAGTTATAAAATAAAGTATTGATGGACTTAATCTCACAGGAAATACAATCAAATATGCTTCTTTCAATCGTACAGCAAATCTTTCTAGCATTGGGCTCAGGTATCCAATGAGCAATTCTTCAAACAACCAGTGTATTTTAGCAATACGTCTTTTAGTACCCTTATTCATTACCTTCTTCTAACTGACAGAAATCAAACTCCATTTAAAAGATTGTCTCTTGATGAATACTCCACTAAGAACAACAACTACTTGCATTTACATAGGATAACATCTTGGAGCATTGGACCTGCTTGAGTGCTGTACGAGAGAGAAGGGAAGAGGAGAAAGGGAACAGTAGATATGCAGATCATACATTGGTGAAGACTGGTGCTGTCCTGCAACATGAACAATGGTCAGATACCAATCAGTGCAGAAAGTACACTACAAACTGAAGAGGAAAATAGCCTGCTGAATAGTCCTTAAAGAGGCAATTTGAATCATAACCACTAAAAATATCATTAAAAAGACAGAAGACACCGATTTTCTGAATAAATTGTTTGCTTTTGTGGAGTCCTGTAGCTCAGTGGTAAGAGCACTCGCTTTGCAAGCGAGAGACCGGAGTTCAATTCCCGGCAGGGCGAAACCTTGGGCAAGTTTCCTTACTCCACACAGAGCCTAATAATAATCCCTCCAAAATAAAAACAATAATAAATTGGTCATTTTCAATCTACGACTGTTTGTGGGACATTGCTGTGCGCAATTGGCTGCCGCGTTCGCCCACAAATATACAGTCAATTCACTTTCCAGTGTGTTCTGTGAAGCGCTTTGGGACGTCCTCCTGACGTGAAAAGCGCTATATCAAATGCAAGGATTATTATTATTATTATTTATTCTTATTATTAGTCATGCATAAGTAAATCCTAATCTAGTTATTTCATGGAAGCATTGGTTTATCTAACTGGTTAGTGAAGTGTTTCTAGCGATGATCCTAGCAGCTGTGAATGGTAATAGATTCATTCAAAGGCAATTTATTTTTGTTTTCTAATCTTCAAATATTCTGAGATGTATTACTGGGGAATTAAATTGCTCAGTTACAAAATGTAGACTAAGCATGTCAGATAGAAATGAGCAGGCATATTGTAAATCCTTCTCCAAGAGCAAAATTCTTCAGGATGAACACAATGTTAATCGTACCTATATTCACATGGATTGTTTAAACTGCATTACTTTAATAGCGCAGGCATTCATAATAACAGATTGGAGAATACAAACAATACAAAAAGTGTTCAGGAGACAGGAACCATAATAATAAAAAAAATAATCAAGCAAAGATAGAATTGTTTTCTTTCCTCCTGCAGTGTAATAACTGCAGCAGATCTATCATTTCAGTAACACATTTTTTTCTCTGCACAAACTGTCCTTTGTGTGCTGAGACTGCATTTTCTTCTGGGGAATAACCAATTATATGTAATAGAGTATTTGGCTCCAGAGATGTGATAATCAAAAAATATTGTATAAAGTGCACTCAATTATTTTGTTCCTAGAAATTAAACTGTTGTGCTGAAAATCCTATAATGTGAAAGGTTTGTTTTAAATCTGAAGCTGAAAGCATTCGTACCTGCAGTCCTTCAATGGCCAGTCGAAGCATGCTCGGGGTTAGTTTGGAGGCTTGCTTGAAAGTGAAGTTGCTCCAGTCTATGATCAAAATAAATCCATTGACTTGAAGTTCTGGGTCTTCAATCATTGCTTCCAATGACAACAGTATGGCACGCAAAATATCTATTAACGTGTACCTGAAAGCACAGAGACTGTCATTAATAATCAAGGCTTTTAAGCAAAGGTCCATCAAGTGTTTAAAGTGCACAGTTCATTGTGGTAAGCAAAGACCTGAAGTAAGCTAGCTAACTAAATGCCCTTAGTTGGCACTGGTGTTTATCATGCTCTCTGGATTAAATAAAATGTTATTCAAAATAGAAAAAAGCCATTGCATACCAATTGGTTAAGAGGTTAGAACTGAAATTGATAAGTTACTAGTGTAATAAGTTGAAATATGTTCAGCTCAGTTTATAAACTTGGTATCAAAGAAGCTTTTGAATGTGTTTACCCGCAACATACTCTTTCTTTCCCTCCACCCTTGCCTTATTTTAACATCGTGACAACAGGTTACAAATGCCAATTCCTGTCGAGAGCCGGATGTACATCACATCAATATACTCTGACATGTCCAGAAATAGATGTTGATTGGAGCAGAATTCCCACAAGTCAGGAGGACGCACATCTAGTCACTATTCGTAATTGCCTGTTATCAAGATTATGATTTTGTCCCCATTACAAAGATATGTGGCTATCATAAGTCTTGCAGTGAATACAGCTAAAAAGCCTTTCTACATCATGATCTAAAGTCAAATACAAGTGGGGCCTGCAGATAGATCCCTAGGTATTTTTTCTTACATCAGCATTAAACTGATTTCAGAATTTAGTGCAAATCAAAGGCAAATTAGATTGCTTTGGACAAATGTAGAATCTCCTAGAATCTCCTGGGGGCAAAATAAAGGTCACCAAGATTTTTGCTGGTTTCACTTACCTCCAAGCTATGATGATTTCTGGAATCCTAGCTTAAGTTGCATCTAAGTGAAAGATGCACTGACGCACCATTCACATCATTAGCTTGTTACTTGTAACTTTGCTTTCATCTTCCAATAACAGTACCAAGCACTTGTTGACCATGTAATATATAGGTCACTAGCATTGCTGGAAGCAAACTCTACATTTTCCAGCAAGATCAGCAAAGATACCTCTGTTTTGAATTGCTGTGTTCAGCATTAATGTATTTAAGAGAAAACGTGATGCATACATAAGAGAATAGAGATGTACAGGTGAAACAACAACATCTAGCATGAAAGGAATAGGAGGAGTGGGGGTTCATGTGGAGGATAAACACTAGCTTGGACTAGTTCAGCCAAAATGTCCTGTTTCTGTGACGTATAACTCTGTGTAATACTGTGTAACTATTGGAGTTTTTCAAACTCTCGTATCTCTGTGCCTCTAACAGCTTAATTTGCCTAATTGTTGACAGAGAATTATGTATTGTTGTACAGTAGAGTGACCATACATCCCCAATTTCCAGGACAGTCTCTGTCTCTGCGGTATTGTGCCTCTGTTGAGCTGTCTTGAGCTCAGCAATAAACTGTGCAAGAAAAATACAATTCTAAAACGGATACACTCGCCAGAGAAATATAGCCAATAATCCAACAAGCTTCTCCAATACTGCCAACATCAGGAAGTGTGGTGAGTTCAATTCTTTTTCGTATGTGTCCCTGGATTTTGTTTACAAAATATGATCACCGTACTATACAGTCATAATGTCAATTTGACTTGGGTTTGATGAATTATGCATACATGCAAACTATTCAATCACACCAAAAAACATTATAAAAAGCAATTACTTAAAAACAATTTCTCCACAAAAAGATACAAATAATGGAACAGGAAAACCACCTACAGACATTAAGAGAGCAACCCACAGATGTTTTTTTAGAGGGTTTTATTAACCACTTGATAAATTAAGTTAATCTTTGCAGATTCTGTACCAATAATCGTTGCCAACTAAACGCAAAGCTTAATTTATTTACATCTATTAAAAAAAACAGTGGGAGTAAAATATCAACACTTTCCATTAGCGCTATTACCCAAGTTTATAAGTAAACATATAAAGTAAAGCGCCAAAGACTAAACAAAGAGTGAATTATACGCCAAATGCAACATGTTTTGCAGGAATGATATCATCTAACACATGAAATATGCAAACTTTTTTGTGCATTTATTCCTAATTATAATGCTAAAGACAACAGACAGCAGACATTGTTCCATTCACAGCTGATATTACCTTTCAAAATGACATTGCAATACAGTTAACTTAATTGTAGTCATATTCTTTCCTGACTATGCAAAAATGTCACAACAAATTAGCCGATATCAACTGAATAAAAAACTGTATCAGGTTACCTGAAAGAATGAGCAACGAACGTCTATGTTGTACTGTACTATACATAATATATTTGCAAATGATGCAGCAATCATTACATATAACAATTCTGGTTCTCAAAAACCTGGCCAGTAACTCTTCTCCAATTATAGTGATCTAGAATTAAATCCTCTTTATAGCTGAATATAAGTGAACCAGTTTGCCAAAAAATATTAGTCTCAAGAGTGTTGGTTGTATAAAATAGCTCAAAGAGTAAAACACACAATGATTTGCAGGCAGAGTTTGGCTGGGGAAGTTATGAGTTATGAGAAAAGATGAAGATATTAATACTAAAGAAGACTCATGAGAGATGCCATTGTAGCATTTGAAATCCTAAAGGGTACAAATAATCTGAAACTTAAAAATATACCGTAAACTCCTGATAACTCGTCACACCAGGCTCAGTGATTGTGGTTGGTGCACTCAGCAAATAGAAGAAACAGTGTAAGGCAACTATGATTGGGATTCAAAGAGATAATCTTAGATGTGGATACAGAACATCCAGGGTGTGCTGTGGCTCTCAATGAAAGGTGGGCACGCATACTCAGATACATCGCAGAGACCTCTGGTCTATTGAAGGGCCACGCCATTGTCACAGGATAGGGTGGGAGATGGGATGGGAGGTCACAGTTCAATCATCCAATAAACCAGAGGCCTCTATGATACATCTGAGCATGCACACCCAACCTCCACCGAGTGTCCTCGCCAGTCACAGGATAGGCCAGAAGGCCGCTATGATGCAAGACACCATCTTATAATCTTATTGGTTGTCCAATCCATTTTACATTGCAAATACTTACAAGAATTTCTAGAATTCACTAATTACATGCTAGACGGAGTAACAAGTAAAGCAGAGTCCCTTATTAATATTTTGCGGCTTTGATATTGACAACGTGGCTGATTGCGTGGTAGTGACTAGTTAAGGCAGTATCCTGTTAACAGGAGTTTACTGTATTTAACACAGACAAAATATTTAGAATAATGGGCATGAACTCAAGCTCAGAAGAGGAAAGGTGAACACATAAGAGGTGAAAAATACGACATTTTATAACAGATTCAATGTAATAATTCTCATATCACCTCTGAAGTACTGCATTCCCCACCCATTTCTAAAGTCTATGTGTGGAATTGAATACCACTAACCTCAGAACAAAGGTTTGGTCCTAAGCTTCTTTTCTAACATTTTGACTGCTATCTTCACACAACCTAGGGAGTCTGACTTTGCTCTTTTCGATCTTGAGACCAGCTATTGAGCGCTGCTGTGCAGGGCACAAATTGAATATTGAGTTCCGTCAGTATATTACTTTTAGCTCCACTCAAAAACTGTTCTCCCTGACTGGAAGCAGCAATGGAGATTACTTTGGGCGAAACGTGAGGCTGATTATGCCACTGTGGTAGAGGGAGGGGTAGGGGGAAAATCATTATTTCACATACATACTCAGCCCCAGCCTTGGTTGCGCCAAGGTCATCAATCCATCCAAAAACAAAGTGCTGCTTTATTTGCTTTCACTTCCTGATTAATCTTGTACCCATCATATACCAGGGGAACTAAGAAGTGTTTTGATGTGTATTTCAATCTTTAAATGAAACAACGCCTTAGATTTAAATATAAATGACATTCTACCTAAGCTGCGAAGGACAATAATTCTGTTTCTGGAGATCCATTGAAGTATTTGTTAGGGATTATAATTTATTTCACAGCATTTATTTCAAGGTTCTTATCTTGCTCTCCACCTGTTCTGTATCCACACCTAAGATTATCTCCTTGAATCCAATTTATAGTTGCCTTACACTGTTTCTTCTATTTACTGAGTGCACCAACTACAAACACTGCAAATAATATTTATTTTGATTGACAGAGAACAGAATTTATGGGGAGAGCAACTTTTTATTGAAATAATGTCACAACATCTTAAATATGCATCTGAACAGGCAGTATGGACCTTGGCAGATTATTCAGATATCTGCAGCTGATGTCCTCTTCTGCACCAGCCTCCATAAACCCATCACCCCAGTCCTTGCCTCCCATCCCCCAGAGGATCGAGTTCAAAAATTCTTGTCCTCGCCTTCAAGGCCCTCCATGGCCTAGCTCATGCCTACCTTTGTGACCTGCTAACCCCATATTGGCCTGTCCGCTCCCTCCACTCAGTGGTCTCTGGCCTGCTCCGCATCCCCCATCTGGCCAGCCTCATCATCAGACATCAGGCCTTCAGCCTGTTTGCCCCCACCCTTTGGAACTCCACCCCACAGTCCCTTTGGTTTTCTCCCACGCTTGCCTCCTTCAAAGCCCATCTCAAGACCTTCCTCTTCAATCACACCTTTGGTCGCCCTCCTACCCCCACCTTTCCTGCCCTCCACCCCTTCTGATGTCAACCCCCAGCTTGGGTTCATACCTTTGACTGTCCAGTGCTTTGGGACTTCCTCCCAACAGGAAAGGTGCTAAATATATGCAATTTGTTGATGTTGTTGTTTTAATGTTTTATCCAAAGGCTGGCCCCTCTGGCAACACACTCCAAGTACTGGAGTGCTAAGCTCATCTAGATTATGAGTCCCAATGTGGTTTGGCAATACTGCCCATTTCAATTGAATTACTATAGAATGTAGTCTATTAACCAAAATCTTCACCTCCAATAAAAAGATATGCAAAACAGGTAGAAGGTTTAGTTTTGTGCCTCCCTTTTATACAGAGGACATCAAAGCTACGTAGATGATAGTGCAGAGAATCACTAGGATGACTTCTGGAATGAGAAGTCATAGAGTTATAAAGAAACATTTGGAAATTAGGATTGTGCTTGTTGAAGCAGAAAAGATTAAAAAAGGATCTAACAAACATTTTCAAAATAATGAATGATTTTATTAGATTAATCAGAAAATGACTATTTCTAATGATCAAGAGAAAAAAGGGGCATAAATAGTTACTAGGAAAAAAGGGAAGTCAGAAGAAACATTTCATACGCATGGTTGTTGGATTGTGAATCACCTTACCAGAAATTGTTAAATTCATACCAACATTTAAAAGAAAATTGGATAAGTAGTTGCAGAAAAAAAATGCCAAATGGTGAAAGGGTATAGCAATGAGACTTCTCCAAAGGTAGGTCTGAATGGCCTCTTTCTGTGCTGTAAACTTTCCAGCACTCTGTGGTCGGGTTATAAATAAATCACAGTACAGGTCTGTTGGCAGGGTTGTGAACAATTTAAAACGCCTCAGAATTTTCTTTTTTTCTTTATAACTATTTGCTTTGAAATGCTTCCCAGTCGGTGTATGGCCAGGGTAATTTGTCTCCACTCAGTTTTCCTGATAGACATGCTTGAGACTCTCATGTGTGCATAACTGAGCTCCTCATTTCCATCAAATATAAGATTTAAGAAAATCAAAAGTCATTTGACGTCTACAATCTCATGAGTTGGTCCTCAATGGGAATGATTACAACTGGCGCAGCACTGAGGGCTGGTGCTTCCTCAATGATGTCATCTTATATTACAGACCTGGGATAATTCTCCGGTTTAAGATATATTTTTTTTAAATAATACATTTTCAATGGAAACATTAAACGGCACAAAAAATCAATTTTGACGTGCATGCAAGCATCCTTTTGTCTTTACTAGATTGTCTCGGTAATAGATTCGGGTTCTTCGAGAATGAAAAAATCTTCGCCTCCAATAAAAGGATATGGAACACAAGAAACGGCTCGGTTGGTGGGGGGGGGGGTGGGTGGTGGCGCGTTTCATATTTCATTATGATTCTAATATCACTACAGCTACATCATTGCAAGGAGAGCGCAGTTTTAGGCACTTGTTTTCGGTCCCCTATAAAAATCCGAAACAAAACCTGAAACAAAATGTAGAAAGTTAAAGGAGGGAAAAGGGGATAAAAAAAATCATTCAAAAGCTACATTGAAAAATGGGGTCAGACACAAGGGTGACACAGACACTCTGGATGGCAACTGGATGACACAGAATCCCTCTGCTCGCTATTGTACCTGCTCTGATCCCAGTTGGAAGCGAAAAGCACCAGGATTTTCCTGCCATAATGATCCAAGTTAGAAAGCACACCAGGGAAGCCATCCTTCAGCGCCTGTTTGATCCCTGGGTCAGTGGCTTTGAAGTTCTTGAACATGTCCAGGTTCTGCTGACGGTACTCGAAATATTGAGCCAACAGCCGGAAAGCCTCCACATGATTAAACTTCCGAGCTCTTAAAAACCTTAAGATGAAGGCATCATCAGTCCTTAGGAAGCCGATGTCTGGTCGGGTGATAATCATATCTCTTACTTCCTGGATGTCCTGGTGCAAGGTGTCAGGGTTTTCATTCAATTCCAGCTTGGCTTTCTCCAGAGTTTCTGGGGACAGTCCTGCTTGCAAATGAGTCATTCTTTCCTCCCCCACCCCACCCCACCACCCCCCACCCCCCCTTTCCTCCTCCTCCCCCCCTCCCCTCCACCAATTCCCTTTTGCAATATGCAAAAGGCAAAAATAAAAATAATAACCTGCACAGCAAGTCCGTGCACCGAATGAATATCGACCTGCTTTCCCTTTCAGTGTCCGACCCTCATCTCTGCTGCAGTGGATCTTCCCTTTCGGTGCAAAAAGATGCAAATCAAATCAGCCAATAACTGAATAAATTAAATATTTCGATTTTTTTTTGTGTGTGTGGAGGAGGGGATGGGGGGGGAGGGGGGGGGGGGGTGAGGGGAAAAAAACCCAAACAGCGTTTGCAAGATCCGTGACCGTCCGTGTTCATTCAACGCTGAGCTCTGAATCCCACGCCTGTGGTGAGGCTCCTTGAGCACATTTACCTCTCAGATCAATAACGCCACAGCCACCAAACTGCGGGAGGCTGTTCCCACAGTCAGCAGCACAATGCGGCAACCTGCAGTCAGAGGCATCCCAATCCTCACCAAGTCTTATTGCATTGCAGGGTTATCCCTCCAAATCCCTCCACAGGCTTCCTTCAAACCTGATCCTCGACTTACTGACAGTATCGTTGTGTGCTGTGCATCTCTCTTTCTCTCTCTCTCTGTGTATGTGCTGCTGCTGCTGTGTGTGTGTGTGTTTTATTGTTTGGTCTCAATGACTTGGTGTGCTGCTGCCTTCTGTTAGGTTTACGTCAGTGCTGGAGGTGGTGAAAGCGACTGGATGTAATTTCCCTGAAAGCTGTGTGTGCAATGGCTGGAGAGGAACAGACAGACAGCGCAATCTGATGCTCACCACCTGCTCTCTCCCCAGCACCAGCAGCACAGCACTCAGCCCATTCGTTAATAATGTAAATGCCCCCTCTCTCCCTCCCTCCCTCCCTCCCCTACACCAAGGCAATTAGAAACGGTAGGTACTCATTTAACAGCAGAACATCTCCTCAGGGCTTCGCTGGTGGGGTGACAGCCCCTCGTGAATGATGAACACAATTGTGTTCATTTATTGACTTATTCATTGATTGATTTGCTGGGCATATGTGCACAGTAGAGGGGGGTTCACTGAAAGGGGGTGGTGGGCACGTCCCTGCCCCCACTTCCCTGCCCCCCTCCCACCCTTGGTACGAGCTTGTTTTAACCGCTGTCTAACCTGAGCAACAATAAAATCGACACACTGCAAATCGTGATGCTGCCTTCATTCACAGCCATTTTACATGATTTTAGGCGAATTGCCACAATCCAATGAAAATGTGCAGCAGTGAATGGTGAAGTGGGATTAGTGCATAGTTCCCCATATTCAGGGGGACGTAGTCAGGGATCCTGACTGTGTTACTTTGCAGTAGAGTACCACTGACTGACTGACTGACTGACTGGGACCTGATTGTCTATGGACCACTTTCACTCCACACAAAACGAACACAACGCAGAACCATCATGAAGCACCTAACATGGACTTTCAGAAAGCATGCAATGCAGCAGAGTCATCACACACTTTACATGTGTGATTTCCCCCAAATACAGTGTGTTCTCTTTCTTGATCCAGGAAACTGAATTACTGCTCCAACACATAAGTGTCTGGGAAACGGCGCACACAACAGCGATGTAAAGTCAAGTCTTACTTAAACCCAATTAGAGAAAACAGACTCAAACGATGGTGGTTGGTTTCTAGCAGTTGTTTGTCGTGCGTTGCTTTATAGATGAAATGAAAGAGGAAAGAAGCACAAAGACTGTCTGAGGAATTGATAAGGAAACGTTAGATAAAGCAGCAAATCGATTTTAATATCCTCAATGCAGCCATTACATGAGATGGCTTTAGCAATAGTGTGGGTAAAAGTAACCAGACAATCTTACTTTTAATTACAAGTACGTTAGACGAGATGAGACACATGGAAACGTTCCTGTCCTTCTTCAATGAAGGGGAAATTAAGTAGCAATATAAAAAGGTCTAATTGCTAATAATAAATCCTAGTCTGTATTAATTTTGATTACATATGTCTTAAGACATGAAGGAATATAGATTAAAAATTTAAATTTGAAATACAGCTTAATAAGTTTAGTTGTGTCTATCCTCGTGGGGGGGGTGGGGGGGGTGGGGGTGGTAAGCAGGGTCTCCTTGAAGCTGAACTGGCTCCCAGGTGACTTACGCTCATACCCCTTCAAACTCCTCTCTTTCATATGCCTGTCTACTTTATCCTTATTCCTTCGAATGAATGTTGAGTATTAAGGGTTGAGAAGGCTAAGATCATCTCTCCCAGTTTTATATATTTTCCTATTTTGAAAACAAGAATATCATGCAATACAGTTTTAAAAATTCAACAAGCATTGTACCATCAATATCAAATTATTATTTATTTCGTCAGTTCTTGGACAAACAGGGTAGCATTATTTGTAACCTTTCCTGCTATTGGTTGGTCTGCTCAGTTATGTTTAAAAAAAGCAAATGTAGCCTGAAAGCACATAATTTGGTCAGCATCTGGTGCAATGAATATCTGACCCATGTAAAGTATTGGTTTGGGTCAGCTGCCCGACATAACTTCAGGCTGGATATCATAAGAGAGGTTCAGAAAAAGAAGGTCCTTCAGCTTATTTGATCTCAACCTTGCAGAAGATCAAGCTGTTTATTAAATGAGTTCCTTGTCCTTATCTGAACCACTCTTCATGGTAATCCATTCCTGCTATAAATTAACAACAATGCCTTTCATGATCATCCCCCGCCCTGCCCACCTCACCATCGATGGTTAGGCCTTCAGCCTCTGTGCCTCCACTCTCTGGAACTCCATCCTGGAGTCCCTTCCTTCACCTCCTTCAAGGTCCATCTCAAGACGCACCATCCGTCATCTTGCCACCCCCCACCCCTCACCACCTTTTTGGCGCTCACCCTTCCTAAATCCAACTCCCACTTTAGGTACAAACCCTCGAATGTTCAGCCCCTTGGAAAACCCTCCTGATGTGAAACACACAAAATACAATACAAAATGACATTTGTATATCGCCTTTCACTTCGGGAGGACGTCTCAAGGCGCTGGATAGTCAGGGATTTGGATGCAGGCAGGGGTTTTGGGGTAAGGGACGGTGGAGGGCACGGAGGGTGGCCGACATCACGGTTGAAGAGGAGGGTCTTGAGACATGTATTGAAGGAGGCAAGGGAGAGAGCGTGATGAAGGGAATGTGGGATGGAGTTCCAAAGGGTGGGTTAGAGAGGCTGAAGGCCTGACCGCTGATGGTGAGCCGGGCAAAGGACATGGAGCAGGCCAGAGTCTGCTGAGCGGAGGGAGCGGACTGGTTGTGGAGTCCTGTAGCTCAGTGGTTAGAGAACTCGCCTTGCAAGCGAGACACCTGGGTTCAATTCCAGGCAGGGCGAAACCTTGGACAAGTTTCCTTACTCCACACGCCTAATAATAATCCCTCCAAAACAAAATAATAATAAATTGATCATTTTCAATCCTCAACTGTTTGTGGGACACTGCTGTGCGCAATTGGCTGCCGCGTTTCGCCCACAAATATACAATCAATTCACTTTACAGCATATTCTGTGAAGTACTTTGAGACGTCTAAAAGAACTGAAAAGTGCTATATCAAATGCAAGGATTATTATTATTATTATTATTGATAAGGGGTTCGTAGGTCACAAAGGTAGGAAGAGGCAAGGCTGTGGAAGGCCTTGAAGGCGAGGACGAGGATTTTGAACTCTATCCTCTGAGGGATGGGGAGCCAGTGGAGCTGGGCTAGGGTGTGGGTGATCAGTTCACAGAGCCTGGTGCGGGAGAGCGCACAAGCTGTAGAGTTCTGGATGATTTTTAGCTTGTGGAGGGAAGAGTTGGGAAGGCCGATAAGCAGGGAGTTGGCTATATAAATGAAATTTGTTGTTGGCATTGCTTTAGTTATTGCAGTAAGCACCGTGAATGTTACAAAGGGTCATCAGACCTTCTGAGGAGTGTAGCATATCACTTGCATTATGGTGTTCAAAATGTCCTTTCCATTACATCTCATCTAAACTGGAGAATTCATATTGTTTTTCGGCAGATGAGCAGGAATGTGTGTGGGGGGAGAAACTGCAACAAGGGCTCAAGATATGAACACTGTCACAATTTAACCACCTACAGACCTACTGCTCTGCCAACTACAGTATTACATATTTTCTATGAAAACATTCAGCTCTAAATGTAGCTCAAAAAACCTGGCAGAGTGTTGGCATTACAGAATTAAAGCAGTGATTTATTTAACTCCTCACTGGCTAGCTGACAAGCAAATATAGAAAAAACTATGACCAATTCAGCAATAACCTGGCTTGTACAAGTGTACATCATTGTCTATTCACTGATGCTGCCTTTAGAAGGTTCAGGATTGTCAGTGATCCAGAAGGTAAAAATTGCTGTCAGAGTGATTGATGCTTTTGAAACACAACTTTAAAATGCCTACAAAAGATCCACTTGTTATTCCGAGTGAAACTTGTAATATTGTTCATGTATAAAAACCAGTTTGAGCATTAAAATTCTACAGTTATTAGATATTTGGTTCCTTCTTTGTTCCAACTTACCTGCCTTCTAACATGCCTCCTGTGCAATGAAATATTTTGCAGTTATACTTCTCACATGATGTGAATACTGATAACATAATTAGAATAGATTGAAAAATTTTAATGAGAAAGTTGGAAATTATATGCATGGGCATTAACTCAGGGCAAATTAGTGTGGATTTGCAGAAGAGCAAATTCAGATATTATGCAAAAATTGGGGAGAAAATAGATTTGTATCTATTTTACATATATACATTACTAATACTTACAACTACATGTTTGTAAAATTAGCTGCTGCTTCTTCCAAACATACCAAATTATTTCTCAGTTTGATTTGGCCATTATTTTAACAAATACTCTTGAAATATTAATATAGAAAATACATTACTACATTCATAGGATCATGAAATGTTAGATCGTTATTGAGCTTACATCATATTCTTAAGCACAAAGGAAAAAGAAAATCATAAAAAGAGC